ACAACCCTAACCCTAACCTTGACAACCCTAACCCTGACAACCCCAACCCTAACCCTAACCCTGACAACCCTAACCCTGATGACCCTGACCCTGACCCTAACCCTAACCCTAAAAGAGGATGTCTTCTATAGCTCGGAGAGCAGCAAGGACCCCACTGAATGGCAGGCCAAGGGTGTGACCCTCAAATCTGTCACAGCCTTCTTCATGTGGCTTCCTGCGGCTGAGGAAGAGTCGGACCACAACTGAGTGCGGGTGGGGCCAGGAACCTGGAGCCCCATGGACTGGAGGATGGCCCAGCCAGCTGCCAGGACTCCAGGGGGGTGGCAGCGGTAGCGGCAGCGGCAGTGGGTGCCTACTGTAGTGTAGGTTGTCTGAGTTAATAAAGTGCCTGAAGAGGCAGGATGGCTGTGGGCCAGTGTTAAAAAAAAAAAAAAGAATGTGGGATCTTAGGGAGCTCTGGTGGCCTAGTGGCAAGAAGCTACTCTGCAATCTGGAAGGCACGTAGTTCGAATCCACCAGATGCTGTGCTGCAGAAGGAGGGGTAGTCTCCTCTTGTGCCAGTCAGATCAAATTCGACGGTACACAGCAAGAAAGAGAAGAGAGAAAAAAAGGAATAGGGAATCTTGAATCAGAAAACCATGCTACACAGCTCTGTCCCTACATAAGTGTGACATCAAGTAAGTTTCTTAACTTTCTAAAAGCCTCTCAGCACAGGTTAAATGAAAATAATGGAGATATTTGACTGTTTCTGGCCAGTTAAAAAAAAAAATCATATATGTAAAGTGCTCATTAAGGTACATAATACTTGCTTATTAGGTCCTCAGAGGTCTATGTAAAGAGAGTTCATTTGAAAAATAATATACACCAATAACCTATGAGTAAATAAACAATTATATATTAATGCAGGGAGTATGGACAGTGCAAATGAGTACATATTTTACACTAGAGAAAATAAACAATATAGCTACTTAAATCTTCAGTGATTTTCAGAAACAGTTTTGTTTATATATAATATATTGAACTACTTTTTTATGTGTGACACATTCCATAATATTTATTTTAAATGCTAGTACCAGAGGGTGGTGTAGTTTGTAGCAAGGTATGCTGTTAACCCAAAGGCCAAGGACCTCTATTAGTTGGAATCCACCAGCTCCGCCTGGGGTGAAAGATGGACACTGATGGATAAGTTTTCCCCTGAAATTGGGAATCAAAGAATTTAACTGCTACTTTACTATGTTCTTATCTCTTAATAGGTGTGGCCACTGCCAAAGATTAACACCAGAATGGAAGAAAGTAGCAACGGCATTAAAAGTATGTTTGTAAAGTGTTCAGATTAACTCAGTACATGTTTAAATTTTGTATTGAAGTAAATTTACTGTATGATAAGCTAATTTGCATGTTGCAGCTCAGACCCTCTTCAGTTGTCAAAATCATATAGAAAAGGAAGGTAATAGACATTTTGGCTTTTTGTCTATTTCTGTTAATTTTTTCCATGTATATGACAAAACTATTAGTTATACTAATTCTGGGAGTTGGAGAATTTTGCTTCTGAGCTGTCTTGCATTTCACCCATTATTCCATTTTGTTTCCCTTTTTATGATTTCCCAGACCAAAACCATCATTAAGATATGTTAACTTGCCTTTTATTATCTTATCTCTGCATTTACATAATAAGCTGATGCTACTATAGAATCTGTTATAATTAGAGGGAAAAAAATATAGGTGTTTCATGAATATTTCTGTAGGGCACTGTAAAAGTTGGTGCAGTTGATGCAGACAAACATCAGTCCCTTGGAGGCCAGTATGGTGTTCAGGGATTTCCTACCATCAAGATTTTTGGATCCAACAAAAACAGACCTGAGGATTATCAGGGTAAGAGCTTTTCTCCTGCGTTGCTGTTAAAAAGGTCAATTAAATATTAGAAGAGTATCTCTACCTGCCAATTTCCCAACTTCCTTAAGTATAGAGAGGCACAGATGAGACATTCCTCCCATAACAATTTTCAGCCTTGAAGAGTGAAATCTGCTTGGTCAGACTCATCATGAGGGCAGTGGATTTAGATTTTGGGTTTGTTTTTTTGTTGTTGTTGTTGTTGTTGTTTTTAATAAATTCTTCCTGTTTTGTATATGTGAATTGTGAATATTAACTAGGAGTTATTAAGTAACTAATAGAATTCTGCCTCAAAACTCCCAAGTTACACTGTTCTTTTCTAGAATATCATTATAGAGAGTATCTCAAACAAATTGGTGGATTAAAAACTGTTAGTATTACTGTGTTGGGGAAGGTACGTGCTTCTAATAAAAATATAGAGCATAATATATACTTAAGGTTTAAATTTTAACTAAATCTGATCAAATTTTTAAGAAAATTTTGTTAAATGGGACCCATAAGTGACCGAACTTAAGAGTCTAACATCTTACTTTTTGCTATATATGAGAGTAGAAACTTGCAGGGAAAAGGTATCACAGTGAAATAAAGAGCTTACTGTCTGTACTGGTGCCTTGTATCCAGCTGATAGAGAAGACTTCAGAAAGGGCAAAGAGTGCAGAATCTGTATTGAATGAGGAGTAGCTTGTGTTTAATTGCTGATTTCACCAAGCTCTTGCTTTGTAACAAAATACTATACCTATCAGAATCTGTTTCTCATCTGTACAGTGAGGATGTGACCCTGTTATAAAACGTTTAATAGAAATAAACATAAAATATGAGACAAATGCTTGGTAAATACCATTGTTTAGTACATCTCTAACCTGCTGGTCAGAATACTTGGCAGTAAGACCTTCGTTGTCTTTAGGTACAATTGTGTTGATTCCAACTCATAGCAACCCCATGTTCCATAGCAGAATGGCCCCATATCTTTCTTTACAGAAATAGTTTGCCATATCTTTCTTCTCTAGAGCTACTTAGGTAAGTTTGAGCCACCAGGTTTTTTGGTTAGCAACTGAGCACTTAAATGTTATACCACAAGGGCTCTTAGAAGAGACCTTCTGGACTCCCTAACTGAAGTTTATGAAATGTTTCATTTTCTTTATGTGAAGAAATGTCAGCAGCCTCTCTGCTTTGGGATAGTTTAGCTAACTTGTAAAAATTGAGCTTTCCCACTGTCTGCTTTTGAAAAGACGTTTTGGTGACCTAGTCTCTGCCACTAGTACCCAAAACTCGATCATAGCTTACAAGTTAAAAGTACATGGTCCTTCGGACTGCCAGATGAGCAGGTGCCATCTACAAACATGAGAGTTCACACAACCCCTGTGGGTACAAAAATCAGTAATTTTTGAGGTGTCAGCCATAAGCTTTGAGGCCTCTTTAGGCTCCCTTACTCCTGCCTACTGACTCTATAACTTTGGCTTCAATAATTACAAATTTATTCTAGCAAAAGGATACAAATCAGGATCATTTTAAGAAAGACAAACATGGGCGAGATCTGGGAGGATTCTCATCATAGCATTTCTGTACCACAGAACCTGCCATATTCAAAAGCCCGTGACAGTCTCAGTCATTACTTAGTTATATGCACATATCCTTTAATCAAACAAACCTTCTGATCAAGTGGTCTTTCTGGATCAGCCAGCCACACTGAATAGCAGAAATCCTCAGGTGTGGTCTGTAGATTTGAAATGATAAAAGCTCTTCATTTGCTAAAGACATTTGAAGGGCTAGCCCCAAGAATCAAAGACAGAGGCCAAATTGTTGTTGTTTTAGGTAAAGTAATTCATTAAAAAATACTGAGTATCTTTCTTGATTTTGGTATCTTTTCAGATTGAGAGAGGGGTATGGCTCAGAAGATGGACATATGTAAAGAATAGCGGGAGGTTTTTGTGCTAGACTTTGCCTTTGCTGTATTATGGAAGTGACATACTTGATAATTTTCTTTTTCCCAGTAGAGACTGAATATATGCTTAATGTTGCTGTACTATATTTTCTTTCTAATATCTGGTCTGAAATGTTCTCTCAGGTTTTTTAGCTTTTTGTGTGTGGATTGTTTGATTAGAAAACTTGAGTTTATAGGAAACAAAGATAAAACTTTCTTAAGAATCCTGTTAAAGTTCTGGCCTTGAACTCTGAAGACAGCAACACTTCTGTCAGTTAAAATCTGTGTGATTTTTTTTTTCTTGAGCATCTAGGTTTTTTGTCTTCGCTTAGACTTTCTAAGGCTGTTCTTTTGCCTCATGAAATTTAAGTACAGCAGTTGTTACTTTTAGGTTAGGATTAAAATTAGCTGTCAAATTTATTAGCCTAATAACAGTGTTTTAGGCAAGATAAAAATTCACTTTTATTTTACATTCAAGATATCTGGAAGTGTTGATCTAGAGTTGTCATGATGTAGTATCAGAGATTTAAATTCATATTCTTCATTTTAAAGGACATCTCATCGTTCAAAATCAAACTGTAAATATACTTCTCAGAAGTTTCACTCATTTTTCTTATATTATTCAGAAGTTAGCTACATACCACTACATATAAAAAAGGCTAGATAATGTAGAATATATTCCATACTGCGTTAAGTCTAGCCAGAAGAGAGTTCTCTTGCTCTGGGAGAAAAAAATAAAGGAATAATCTCAGGGGGGGGGGTTGTTGTTATTCTATTATTATTAATGAGTTTTTTAAGTGCAGCATATATTTTTTTACAGCGTATTCTTTCCATTTAATTTTTTCCCCCATTCATTCATTGTTGCACATTTTCTTCCCTGCCCATCCCCCCTCCCAGTTTTTCTCTTTGAAGAAGAAAAAATTATT